ACCCTTGTCGACGCCGTTCTTCAACGCCTTGTTGAACAGCGAGTCGAACATCTTCTCGGTGACATTGATGGTGTTGTTGGCGCGGACATACTTCTTGAGCGATTGGCGACTGATAAGTGTGTTAGCGAAATGAGTTGTGGGCTGCGACACAAAGAACATTGTTGGTGATGGACGCGACCAGATGCGCCACCATGCCATGGTGTTCGACTGCGACGCGTTGAGATTGGAAAGCGCTTACCTAGAACCATTGCGATCCTTGAGCTGTAAATGGAAGTAATGGGTCAGTAAAAAATTATTCTCGCCCATGCAACCACCCACACGGGCAAAGCATCATGCATCATGTGCAATGCCGACCATGCTTCCAAATGTGCCAGAAGAAAAGGAACGGGATGAAATACCGCGACGATGGCATCAGTGATCATGTCCTACAATTTGTTAGCTACAAAACACAGATGAAAAGACATCATGTCAGGGATGCGCACTTGATATGTGTGTTGCGAGCCGGAAGACTTGGGCTTCGCAGCGGCAGCGCCCTCGGGCTTGGTCTCGGTCTTCTTGGAAGGCATTGTGATTGAGGTGTGTAAGTGGATCGGAGTTAAACCGGTTGATATTTGCAAGTAAAAGTTGAAAGGGATATCCGATAGACCTCAAATGAAAATATCGCGTCGATTATGTTTGGGATGGAGAGAAACAGGGAACAGGAGGGTGTGGGTGGGCAGTCGCGCTTGGGGGCATGCCCTGGTGTTTATATGGGAAAGCGGGGGGGCTCACTTCACACGCGAGTGATTGTGCTGATTGCGCCGCGCATGCTGGGGGTCCAGACATTTGCTCCGGGCCAATTTTTAGGCCAAAACCTGCAGCTCAACGACGAGCATGGCCCGTGCCCTTACACCTCAGTCGCTCAACTACAAAACCGTCACGTCTTCTCCTTCCTCGTGAGTGCATTGCTGCCATCTGACTCGAGCTGGCTCTATCCGGATTGGTTTGCCCCTCGGGCCAGCCTGACAGCAGCCCTGGATCCCCTGCCTCGCTCAGCCCAACCCGCCCACCTGGATGATGCGACTTATCCATTTCCCCGTCTAGCCAGACGTGGATGGGTGCCTGGCTTGTTTGGTTGGGGCTACTGCTGCTGTTTTACATCAAGTTGTCATGTGTTGGTTGGCTTTTGTCACGGCAAGAGTACCAACCCAAGTCACGGCACTCATTCAGACACAGTTCAGTCGGCAGCCGTTGCAGCCAACGCTTTGCATCGAAGCATGCCGAATGCTGCATTCCAAAAATGCATCATTGCCTTCCCCGCATGGAATCATTTTCCTCTGTAGATTGCTCGCCAGATGACGTTGTGGGAGCTCGGGGGAACAGGACTAGACAGACCGGGGGCGCAAGTGCTGGCTCAGTTCTGCGACTCTGTCTTGGACGCTGCGTGTGTTAGCAAGATGGATCGGCTACGTGGGGAGACTTTCCCTAATTCGGCCATCCTTAACAAAAAAAGAGACGCTTTGAGGGGTGGATGAATTTGCTGATTGGCTCGTCGAAAACGGCACCTCATCCACTTTGTACCTTCGATCATGTGCACCCCATCGAAGCGTGAGCTCTCGTTCTCTGATCTCGACTCCCCCATTCCCTTGACCTTTCGGCTCCCTCTGCTTCTCTCGTTTCTTCCCCCTCCTCATCTGTGCATTGGTTACTGCATGCGATGACTGGCTTCTTTGTCCCATTTTTGGTTTGATTTTCGGTCCCAACTCCGCTATTATCCGATCTAGACTCGGCTTGAGGTCTTGGGGTGCCGAGCTGTGATGAATGCCTGTTTTGTCGCGTTTTGGCACGTCGCGATGTTCGATTGAAGACGGACATGCTTCGGCGCATTAGGGATAGCAACCCACCAACCCCTGCTTTGCTGCATCAAATTGTACCCTCTCGATCGCTGCATTCCATGCCTTCTTTTCGTCCAGTTATTTTCTTCCCGTCTCCCGACCCGGTGTCACTATGACCGGAAGTATCCGAAGTCACTCAAAATGATGAGCGGGCGAGCTCGAGTCGCGCTTGAAGCTATCAACATCGCCACCTGTCTCACCTTTTACCTCGCCCAACACTCACGCAACACCCGGTTTTTGAGGTTTGGCATAACTCAACTAGCTTTATGACTCTTTGGCTTGCCGGTGGCTCTTTTTTGCGCCCCAATGCCTCGACTGCGCACTAAATTTGGGCACCATCCGCGTCATCGGAGTTGATGTCGTGTCGATATGCGCGTCGGCCACCCAGCCACGCTGGATTGGCCAACCCCCCGGCCGCCATTCAAACATGAAACCGCATCTGCATTTGCAGAGGTACCTTTCTGAAAACACTCGAGTGTCTTGGTGTAGTAGTTTTTATTTTTGTTAATATTATTCTTGTGCCTGGACGCGTGGCTTTAGTAAATCTGGGTTATCACGGTCACGGCTCGTGGGGTTGGGCGATGGTCCAACTGCCCGCTGTCTTTTAAGTTCTCCCCCCGCTCCGTCCGCACGGTTTTGTCATCGTTCGCGAGACTCGCAACTACCTAAGTAGTTCACCAGTCATCCGATGAACAACCCCGGGTTTCAAGGCTCGTTTTCTTGGGTTGTTGGGTGCCTGCACCGCTCTCCGCTAAACAGAGGTCCAGGCTGCCAGCGTGGCGCTTGGTACACAAGGCGCGCTCCCTCACTCTGCCCTGGCGGCAACAAGGAGACCAATGTTAGATTTGAAACCAAGCACGATAGTGCTTTCTTTTGTAAGAACTAGGCGGCACGAACGGGAGATGGCTACCTGGATAGTGGGAGGCACATTGCTCTCCTCGTACCTCTGCAAAGTCTGGCACCAAGCCGTCAATACCTTATAGCAAGCACCCAGGATTCACCCCGTATATCAACTAAACAGACTACCGGCTCATCGGTGTACTCTGTGAAGTCGATCAATACATGGTAAAATAAACAATCGATATCTACTACATGAAGCTGTAGTCCCGTTATGCATGCAGCTCTCCATCGTGGCGGCTTGGTTTCCAGGCGGGTCTCTTCCGACTCCCACGCCAAGGTACGCTCTGTTTTGGTTCGTTTTTGCAGTCGAGCATCGACACTGAGAGTCCAGTTTCCTTACCCGTTCGGTGGGAGGGTGCCGCCGACTTGCTACCTTGCGTAGAGCAAGTGCAATGGAATATATTTGAGGTAGGTAGGTACGTTATTGTTATTGACTTACACTTCCGATGTTGTATGGAAATACCTTGGTACCTAAGGTAGGTACCTATCTCTCAAAATTTGAAGATAGGCCAACATTCACTCATAAACCCAATCTCTTTCCATCAACTTCGTTTCTTATTTTTGTTGGCTACACGAAGAGGTTGCCTAGAGCGACAGCATCAATTATTAATAGCCGACTATCCAACTTCTATCTTCGGTAACCCCTCAAGAGCCAGGGTTTTGGAATCTCGAGTCGTCATCGTCGTATACGTTTCCGTGGGATATTACCTGGTACATATCCAGTCTCTCGACTCTGCCAAAGATAGGCGCATGGGCCGGAGAGGGGGCTGACGACACCAAGGTTTTGTGACACTCTCCGAAATTCCTCGCTCCGTCATGGAAGAGAGCAAAGGATTCCGCTTTCTTAGCCTCCCCGGGGAGATCCGCAACATGATTTACGAAGCCTGGCTCGTCATGCCGTCTCCTATTCCCATTTATTACGGCGAGTCCCACGGAGAGAAATTCCTAACGCCACCTCCGAGGCCTTGCGTGGCATTGCTTTGCGCCAACAAACAAATCCGTTATGAGGCCGGCTCGATATTGTACATGGACAACACCTTTGAGCTGATAAACTACACTCATTCTCTCCCCAACTTGTCACGGTTCCTCGATTACATTGGTCCCCTGAGTGCAAGCCACCTGAAAAAGTTGGTCGCCGACTTTCTATATGTGGGTGATACGACTCATCAAGCCGGAGAAGAGGCCCATTTCGAAGACTTGAGGGCTTTGCGGAGATGTACCAACCTTAAAAGTTTGCAGACAACCGCGTATGGCTCGTAGGGCAGTGGCCTGACGGGGGGTGGGTATCACACGCTTAACGCCGCCTTCGTTCGGCAGGCGCTGCGCCGGATTCATGGCATCCTGAGCACCGCTTATTCACTGCGCGATATCCGCGTCTTTGCCTACAACTACCGACTTGCACCTCAGGTGGAGGAGTTGATGCGGTCCTTCGGCTGGACGGTGACTTGGAAGGGGAATTGTCATCACGGAATGGTCATCGAATGAGCAGGATAGGAAGAAATTCCCTCTCATAGTCTAGCACGGTTGCTCTCTGTGTCGTGTCATCAGGGGTGTAGACTGCAGGAAGAAAATAGAAGCGAGTCACTTGGTCGTTGTCCCATAACGGGTTGTTGGTTATGCAGTTTCCGAGATTGAAACGGATTGTATCCCCAAGACACGGTGCCGTTCTGAGAATGGGATTCGTCCAGGTCGCAGAAACTGCGTAAGTCACTCACTACCACTGAGGCGTAAGCAAGCTGTATAGCATTATCATTAAGGTCATAGGCAAAAAGGGTGGTCGAAAAGCAAAGTTGTATGTGGCTAGAATATATTAGCAGTTGCCCTAGCACTTATGGATAACAATTTGGCAACGTATATTCACACCGACTAATGACAAACCAGCAACGGAAAAGACTCCCCTTGCACCAACTACCATCCGAAACATCCTATACCAAAACTGAGAAATCCGGGTGAACAATCAGGACTGTTTCCTCCTCCACCAGGTTGAGAAAGACTCCATTTCGTGCCAATAGTAACCCCAGGCTGTGGGCACAATGGCATATGACGACCAGACCGGCGAGTAGCGTAATACCAAAAAATCGACAACTATTTTGTTAACCCTTTTGAATGATCACTGTGCTTGTATGGGCCAATCCCTCCAAATCCTCATCTTAGTTCTCATTAGGGTGGGAAAGCCGTAAGGCATAAGCAATCCACCACTCTCACTCATAACTCATTGACACCCACAGCACACACATTACGCGCCACCCAACGGACACGGTACATTATCCCAATCAGTCACCTCACTGTCCATTCATTCACCCAAATTAGTCTATCCCCACCCACAGGTCGCAAGTGGCCACAACCCGCTCAGCGGCTCCAACGCTCAAGTAAAACACCAGTAGCAGGCAAGGCCAGGCAAGGCAAGACACGGCAAGATGCAAAATAGACAAAATGGGCAATATAGGTAGGAGGCACCCGAATAATTTTTGCTACCTGAACCCCCGACGACTGGCCCTTCAACACTCAAACCACACCCCAACGCCGGTTATGCACGACCCGACCCGCCCGACCGAGCCTCATGCAGAATAGTAACTGGTAGTAGTGGGACCAAAGAAAACGCTGGCCGTAACAGTTAACAGCAACATAAAAAAAATAAGCAGACAACTCAACAACAACAAAAAGAGACGGCAACGACTCGGGGGTCACAACCCCCCTTCACCAAGTTGAGTTCAAGTTCAAGTTCAACATCCCGCCTTTTCCACGAGCCAGAGCCAGCCAGGGACATCCAACCCCACCAGCCCCAGTTCCAGCAACCGCCTCATCCCCAACCCCTCACAACACCACCTGTCCATTCCGATTTTGATTCCGATCCCGAATCCCACTCCCATCCCTATCCCTCCACTAAAAGAAATTCTTATTCAACACCCCAATCGCCCTCGCATCCTCACCCTGCGAACGCAAATCCCTCGCCGCCGACCCCGACGCCGGCATCGACACGGCACCGCCAGAAGGCGAACTCCCCGCACTACTAACACCACCACCACTCACCGCACTAACCGCACTAACCGCACTCACCGCACTAACCGGATTAGCACTACTCGGCTCCGACCCCGCCGCCGACGGCAGGGGCACAGACGAAGGGTGCAGAAGCGCGGAGAGCGTGGGGCGGGTGCTGGCGCCGGTCGGGGTGCCGTTGACGCCGTTAACGCCGTCCGAGATGGCGCTGCGGGGCGGCGAGTCCGAGGGTGCGCGGATGGTGGGGCTCGCGGTGGCGGCGGCAGCGGCGTAGGGGAGGGAGGAGGAGGATGATGAAGAGGAGGAGGGGGTTGTGGCGGTGGCGCTTGTGGGGGCGCCGGTTCCGTTTGGTTGGGGTGGTTGTTGTTGTTGTTGTTGTTGTTGTTGTTGTTGTTGTTGTTGGTGGGCAAGCTGACCTGGGGCGGGGAGTGGGCTGTGCTGGTTGCGCGCTGCGTCGATGGGGGCGAGCCGCGGCTCGATCTGGACGGCTTCTCTGGCTTTGGCTTGGAGATGTTGTGATCGTGGTGATTCGAGCATTGAGAGGCGAGGTTGGGGGGCTTGGGGTGAGTGGGTTTGGTTTTGCGGGTATGACTGTGCGGTTGGCATCCCTATCCTAGGAGGAACCAACGCGGGGAGTTGTGGATGGGGTTGTTGGTGTTGATGTTGGTTTGGCTGTGGGTGCTGCGCGTGATGTTGGTGTTGCGGTTCTGGGTGTGGTTGCGTATGTGGAGGATGTTGCGCGTGTGGGTGTGGGTGCGCGTACGAGTGCGCATGCGGCGGGGGTAGCGTCGTCCGTTCGTGCGCAGAAGTTGGCTCGGCGGGCGCATAAGAGGGGTGAGAATGTGGGTGCGGGGAATACGCGTGTGACGCTGCAGGTGGCGGGCCTTGTGAATATGGATACTGGCCATGGCTATAAGGCGGTGTCCCGACGGGCGAAGGCGGCCATGCGTAGCCCGGATGCGGGTACTGTGGAGGGTAGCCATGGTGGGGAGGCGGTTGATGGTGGTGCGGCATGTAGGATGGCTGGGGCAGAGGCGCCCTCGCCGGTGCTGGCGGCGTGGTCTCGGCGAGGCTTGATTCGGGGTACATGCCTTTTGCCGGAACGATATGCCTGAGCGACGGATCACTGCTAGGCAGAGGCAAGTCCAGCGGCCCTCGGGAATAGTAGGCGATTAGGTGGAGATGCTGGCCAGCCGCGTTGGTGATGCTGAACGATATGCTTCGTTAGCCCGTCGGGTTGTACCAGTACATCCGGTTCCCAGTCGTCGTGGTCATCGTCGCTCCTCTGCCAGAGTCTGGTGTCTTCCCGGCGGCCCTCCTCCCACCGCCAAAGGCGTTCCCCCTCTTGCCTTCCATTTCCCGGTACGTGAGAAAGCTCCCAGCGACACGGCTGGCGCTCCATGACTTGCCGTCTGTCCACCGCCGCATGCCGGCTTCCCGTTCATCCCAAACAAAGACGGATCCGGACCGAATAGCTTGCCGCTCCTTTTCTGATAACCTCCTCTGGACCCGCGGAAGAAGGCCGAGCCTGCATGCTTCGAAGAGTTTGATGGCGTCAGCGGGTGACCGCACCACACCGTAGTACGTTTCCATGGTTATTCGTCGGGGTTTCAATACGGTCGAATTCGCAGCCCATGTGGGGGTTTCCTAGACCCAACCCTCCGTTCCCTTCTTTAGGCCTGGTAGTCCCTCACCATCCAGGCCAGGCGTTGTGAGTGGCGTCTCAAAGTGGCTAGAAGATGTGTGGCTGAGGCTTGGTAGTTTCCACCGGAAACAATGCTCGTTACTGTGAAGAAGTCAGATCCTGTATCTTGTAGCGGCGAAGAAACAAAAAAGAGTTGACAAGACAGAGCCATGTTGAGAAGCTGAAACATGGTGATCGCAGGGTGGTGAGGGTGAGGCCCCATGCCACTTGGCAGGGGATAAGGTAGCGCCCGGCGGGCGATCCGCGGAAACCGGAAGTGTCGTACAGAAAGAGTCGGTGGTCGGCAGGTCCAAGCGAGAATGGGATCGCAACGTTATCCTTCTGCCGGCTGCACGAGGACGTGGGGCCGACTTCGCTCACGGCACGCGCGGCGATCTCGAGACGTGCCGGGTTACAGCACAGCTGCTGTGGAGTCGTCCAGCGCATCACCAGGGCTCCTGACACACTGGCATGTCTTCGGCATCACCCCCGCCCACGGAGATAAATCGTCCTCCTCGGGATATTTCCCACCGCCAGGGTAGCCGGATATTGCCACAGTGTGATGAATGTCGGGGAGTTTCCCAGGTTGGCAAAGTTCACGTCGATTCGGCCAATGTTGACTCTTCTTGATATTGCATGCCGAGAAACGAGAATCCCATTTTGGGAGGGTACTCGGCGGTGAGTTTTGGTCTCGTTGATGGCGGCGTATTGTTGTCTTGCTGTATTGCTGTATTGTTGGGCGCAAAGTAGACTCGATATTCCGTTTCCCAGTCGAATGAAGGGAGAAGGCAAAGAATGACATAAAGAATAAATAAAAAAAGAAACAAACAAAAAAGATCCACGTACCAAGTTAAGATATCCTTCTGTTTCCTTTCTAATCTTAATAAAAAAACCACGTTTGTGGTTTGCAAGAGTAAATAACGTGGTGATATGCTGTTTCTCGGTGTTGTTGATTTTGTTGTTGTCAAGAGTGGGCGTCCGAACTTCGAAATCGGTTCTGCATTCGACAGATGCATGTGAGCCGGGGTTGGATCTGGTTTAAAAGAGAGCGTGTGAAAATAAGGCCAGCGCGGCTAGCGGCTGACAGGGGGGAGATCGGCTGCAGGTCGATGACGCTGCAGCCCAATGGGCAAGGGTCGGTCGGAATGTGGGAGGGGGAGGCTCCAGCGAAGGTGCGGTTCGGCCACGATGTTATCAGGGATGTTGGCAAAGCATTTCTCATTCTGCATTTCGTGCGTGGTTCTTGTGTACCATACCTCGTACTGTACCGGACACTGTGGCGGTATAACTGGGGACAACCTGGAATTGGTTCGTTTCGGTATGAGATTCCTTCCCATACCAACGGGACCGTACCTATTCCTCCAAACCGAGATTCGAAGGACGGGACTCCCTCCATGACTGACACAGGACAGCGCCATCCTCCCAAGGTATCACAATCCTACACGACAACCTCACTTACATACAGCCACAGCTTACCTGTCTGTTTGTCGGTAGGTTGGCTGATTTACTCGGCCCTACTCTCCACCAGCGATGCCGAGATGGAGACAAACGGTGCTGTTGGTTACGGGGCCTCGGAAGCACATTAGTTACGGATTACTGTGGAAATGTGCAGGCATGGTTGGGTTGGTGCCGAAGGAAGGAACCTCTTTTCGGTCGAACGATGCGCTTTTGGCAAGCAACAAGGCAGGCAGGCACTGCCCACACCACAACACCCTCCTCCCCTTGCCCCGCCAGCCCGCCAAACCGCCAAGTTCCACACTTGCAGTCGCGTTAAAGTTGGGGCCGAGTTTCTCCCTTACTGGGCAATTAATCAGCATCCAGGATGGAAAAACGTGCCATTCTAACCCGAGAAAGGAACTTAGCCCGAGGCTCTGCGCCAACCCGCAGTTGGGCAACTTGCCCCTTCCGAAAGCCAACGGGGCAATGGTGCCAAGACGGCCAAGACGGCCAAGGCAGCCAAGGGAGCCAAGAGGCAGACCAGGCAAGAGCCAAGCAATTGCGGAATGGCAGAAAGCGGTAAGAATTGCCTTTCAGCGGCCCCCGCCCGTTGTCGTCAGCTTATCAATGGAAATGATCTCGACCCTCGGCTTTCTTCTTCATTAAGCACCACACCACACCAGATGGGGACTTTTACATTTTAATCCCCGCGGGGGTGACCACTTTGAGGGGGGGTAGGGGGGGTGCCATTTGAGGGGGAAAGGAATAATAAACTGCAGGAGGGTGCGCCGTGATTACTACCCAGGCACCAACAACTGCACCCTCGGACGGGAACTACCTTACCCAGGCAGTGTGTAATGGGTCAATACACAAGGTATGGATGTAGTGTAGATGCTTCGCCCTGTCACTGTGGAGAAACTGGGGGCATTGGAGCGGAATACAAGCCGCCCCTTGTTAGGTACCTAACTTACTTCCTTTGTAGGTCGGGTCGTGGCCAAGGGACCATGGAGATATGGAATTATGTTCTTAAATCCCTCCCAGGCTGCATGAGCTTACCCAGTCACCATTGGCGAGTTCCAGCGAGCTGAACGCCCCGAATCCCGGCTCCTTTTCCTTCTGGGAAGCAAGTCTTGCGCCCATTCCTCCCCGATATTTTTTTCTGAAGCAATAGCGCAAAGTTAGGTCGGTCGACCAAGTGGGTGCGCTTCCCGTGACTAGCGAAAAGGAGGTGGCTCGTCGGCCGAACCGGCCAAAGAGGATCCTCAGCCCGCGATCCCTTTCGTTCTTCCATCTGCCCTCCCCGCGCGCCCTGGCCGGCCCAACTGGGTTGGGTTATATCTGAAGTCACCTTCCCTCAGCCCGGTAGGTTGGCCCCTAGGTCCCTCCCTCCAGACCTACCTACCTTACACATACTGTGTGTAGTTATGTGCCGCCTGTGTAACACACAAAGCATACGGAGTCCATCGTATCGTGTGTAATCTGGATGTCTAGACCGAGACTAGACCGAGTGCGAGGAACTGTGCGCAACGTTCCCGCATGGTCGAGCAGGAACAAGAAGGGGCTTGGCCACAGACCGGGGACGGTATCCACGATCCCTGCATCCGCCAACGGGAGTGTCATAGAAATATAATAGGATTTCAAGCTTATTTCACGGCGCCGCCTCGGGCCCGCTAGCGCGCATTGGCATTGCTTGGGGGCCCCTCCCCAAGCCCTTGGCCCCCCCGTTGTGGGTGGTCTGGGCGTTGGGGTTCGTCGCGGAACGCTCGGTCTTGTGATGCTGCACAACCACACGTGCTGCGTTGCTGGCTGGCTGGTCGACTTGGGACTCAAAAACCACCGATTGCCGCCTGCGTTTGCCTTGGGAGTGGTCGGACTGAGGCTTGCTCCACGTTACCTCTGACAGGTCCAGGGTGCTACAGCACAGGTGCCACAGGTTGTGACAAGTGCGCTCCTGAATTACATAAGTTCTCTTTTCTTTTTCCTTTTCAATGTTGCTGCTTGTTGACGCCATAGCCTACCCATCTTCTTCACCACGCCCGACTATTGGCACGCACGGCATGCCGGGCTCTTCCCTGGCCCGTCACGTTTGATGGCGCCAACGAGCCTTTCCGCTTGGGGGACTCCACTTTCCCATGTTGGGCACTTACTCAGATCCTTTATCCACTAGCGTAGCGACTGAGTCGTATTCGCGTCTCGCGGTTGCAGCTCTTGGAAATGCGAAACCTTGGCCACGCCCTGTTTGTATCCGTCTTCCGATCTCCCCGTGTACGCTTTTTCATGGGAGGGGAAAGGGCGTCAGTCAGGTGTGGGGTGTGTAACCAAATTCGTGTAACAGCTCGCGGCTGCTTTGAAACCCAATAAGGAGCTTGCTGTCTCCTGCTTCAATTCGTTATTCGTCTGTTTCCGCGGCGAGATCGCTAGCTCGGTTTTAGCCAGTAAGCACGGTTCTTTTCTTTTCTCCAGGAAGAAGATCCTCCCATATGCGTTGCAGCCATGGGTCATGACCCAAACCATTGTGCGGAGGGAAGGGATCAGATGCGATTCCTGCGCCGCCCGTTCGTCTGTTGACGGTCCCGGTGCCTGACGCTCCCCAGGCTCCTTCCCGAAGCCGCAGGCATCCGCCTCCGTGTAAGCGAACGTGACTCGGACATCAGGAACCCGTACCTTTGCGGTGTGGCGACCCTTCCTGGTTTGCCCTGCACATCCTGGACTCTTTCTTACCAGCTCGAGGGTTCATGGTTGCGAGGAGCTCTGGGGACCGCGCAGATCATGGTTCCTCCTCACCTTGCAACTCGACTCAACTCGACGCCGGCCCCGAATCGTCTCGGTCCGGATAGATACCGCCGGAAAGATCGGCGGTAAAGAAACAGACAGGTCCTTCAGAAATCAAGCTTGTGGTTAGCTCGAGTCTCGGGCGGGGGAAACATCCCAGATGCGATGGCAGGGCTGATGCAAAGGGTTCTCGCTAAGCATCGGGGTGCCACAGCATGGCATCGGTCGGCGCCGATAAGGCACCCCGGAATGTCAGAAGGTGCTGGGAAAGCTTGTTGGGATGCGTCCAGGCGGCTGGGCGCACCTCGTTTTGGGGACGACCGAACCAGCCGGACGGTGAGGGGAGGGGGCTGTCGGTCGTCTGTTTAAGGTTAAAGTGAGCGAGACACAGCCAAAAATAACCCCAACACCAGCCCTCTTTGGTTCAAAATCCCCCAAGTGGCGTTCTAAACCTGCGAGCAATCCAGCGGTCAGCCAGCGGTCAGCCAGCAGACACGGGATGATTCTGGATTTTTCGATTTCAGCTCGGTTGCTGTTTGATGATAATCAGCCCGGGTCATACCAAGCCATCACCGTTTGCCGGTGTCACGCAGGACGGTACGATCAGGCGGCTAGCCTTGGTTGCACAAAGCACTCATAGCAACGCAACCGGCCGGTAGTGTTGCACAAAGTTGGGTGCCAGCATTGAGCAGGACACCACGGAAATGGGAGAGACAACTCGTCAACAAACGCAGGACAAAACCTCCCACAATCCGGCACAGCATATCGGACGTAAAGCGGGCTTCCAGAGTGGCTGCTGTGGACCGGGGTTGGGGAGGAGGGGGTGAGGAAGCCGAGACCGAAATGAAAAAACGATGAGCAGCGTATCGGTCGGTGCTCAGATAGGTTGTTGCTGCTTTGCTGACCGCCGAACCCACACAGGACGCGAGAAGCAAGCAATACTTCGTCTCGCTGTCTTTACGATATTCGTAGGCATTCTCATCGGCATTTTGGCCCCCACAGAGATTATCCGAGCCAAAAGTCGCCGTGCCAGGCGAGGTCGCATCCGGACTCGGAGTCAAGGGGTGTCAGAACGGGATCTTGGGTCGGAGTCACGACATGTCGCCCCCACCTGGAGAACTCAGCCAGCCCGTTTCTTTGTGGTTGAAGGAGGCGGGAGGCGCGCTGCGAATAAGCAGAACCGTGACATGCGAAGCTTGGCACTGCTTTTGTGTCCCCCAACCGTCCTGTCTCCTCCAGCCAGCATCAGCCTCTCGGATGTCGTTCCCACGTCCTCCGACAAAACGGGTAAAACGGGCGTGTGGGCATAAGCCAAGATCTGCAGCGCACCTGCTGCTTCTCCTCGTGGCCGCCATCCTTCTCCTCTTCCCGACTCGATACACAGAGGGGGGCGTATCTAGGACTGCGGCCAAGTACGAAGTATCCTCACTCATACGAATATATCGTGATAGCCTGCGCTGAGTGATGGTATCAAACAAGAACGAGAGAAGAGGTCGGACCGGACGGATTGAAACAACGAACCGCATGACGAACAAACAACACAACACTCGTTTCGTTTATCTCGTGCCTGCGATGGTGAGACTTGACGTGCCCCGCAATCAACCGCCCGCGACGCCCGCTTAAGCTTAAGTCGTTAGTGCGCAAGTTGAACGCACCTATCGCGTGGCTGGCCAGACCAGAACACACCAAGGTTTGGTACATACAATCGAGTCCCTCGATGGCCTGGTCCATGTGCTTGCATACACAATACATACATACACACACACACGCACGCACACTCATCACCTTCACAGTGACACACACCGCGATAGAGGCTTGAGAGGCTAAAACAACCCAAGCCCATCCGCCATCCTTGGCAGCAGGGTTCTTCGCATCAGCCAACCAACTCGAAAAAACAATGCATCACTTACGAGGAAATACCCAAGGTACAGAGATGCTGTAGTACTGTGGTAAGCTCGCAAGCTGCTCCCAGAAGCGATCGGTCATCTGTCGGCATTGGCGGCCGCTCCCCTGTTCCAAGATGGAAGAGACACCCGAAAGCTGGCCCCCTCTTAAGGCGAAATGCAGACGTCGGCAGTACCTCAGTGTTTTTTTGATTGCTTCAGAATGCTGACGCGTCCCCTGCAGCTGCTGTGACGGCGAGTCAATGTTACCGAGGGTAACTGATATGTAACAGCATTGCCGCCCGTCCAGTTGAGGACCAAAATCATAAATATACTGTGTGTATTTTCGGACACCCAATTCGGACAAACCACGCCGATATTGAAGATTCCAAATGTGTGCGTGCTTCCTGCTGGCAGGTGGCAGAGCAAGCAGGCCGTGGTCCAGGGTCGAAAGGGACGGGAAGGGTTGCCCTTTTTTGGTTCGCACGGCCCCA